CTTCTTTTATTATATCCTATATATTGTTTATTCTCTTTGCTTTTCTCTTTTTGTTTTGTTTTTTCTTGTAAATGTCTTTTAGAACCTTTTTTATTTCTAACTAATTTTGTAACTCTTTGTATAATTTTTTTAATCTTTCAATTTTGTTTGATCATATAAGTTTACTGTTCTTGGCTACCTCTTTCTTTTAATCTCTCCCTTATTTTTACTGCTATCATATACTTAATCTATATTTTTACTATTACTATCTTGTGGTCACTCTCTATAATTTTTTCTATTTCTTTGATTTCTGTTTTTTGCAGACCTAAGACTAACTTATCTAATATCTATATATAGTTAATTCTTGTTACTGTTTCTTTATTTAACTATATGTATTGTTAATCTGTTAGATTTATATCTCTATATATGTTTCTAAAATTTTGTTTCTTCATTTAATTGAAGATTAACAGCCTTTTATAATTTGTTGTTTATGAATGTTGTTTGTTTAAAATATTGTCTACTGTGTGATTAAAATCACTTATTATAATAATTTGTGTTTGTTTCTTTCTTTTTAAGATTCTTATTACAATTTTTTGTTCAATATTCTTACTACTACCTTATTATTTGGTAGTATATATACTATAATCACAACTAACTTCAATTGTTTGAAGTATAGTATAATCTTTATTATATATTCACTTATTTTTTTAATTGATCTATATGCTTTTCTTATTGATTATCAATTATAATTCTAATACCCAAACCTTTCTTCTTATTTTCAGTTGCATTTGTCAAAAAACCTACATATTTTTTGCCTGCTATATATGTTAAAAACTTCTTTTCTCTTTCTGTAAAATTTTTTTTATAATTTCTATTATTGCAATTTTCTCTTTTTCTAATAACTGAGTAGATTTTCTGATTTCAAATTCTTGGTTTTGAGTTTATTATTATTATGACATATCAGCTTTATTTCTTTTTTACTTTTTTTTTACTTTTTTTTAATGATTTTTGTTCTATTTCTATACTTTTAACTCTTTTTCCCTCTTTATCATATATATTTCCTTCTTGACAAAAAGTTTCTACTTCTCTTTTTTTAAAAAAAATCCTTCTTTCATTTTGCAAGAACTTCTTGATCTTCTTGTCTATATTTATTGATTTAATTGTGATACTCTTAAGAGTGGTTGGATTGTTCTATTTCATTTTCTTTCTGTTCTTCTCTAGTCTTTTTAGTCTTTCTAATACTCATGCCTATCTAAATGCATGCTATCAGAACTATAGTGAAAAAAATCAAAATTTTGCATTTAGAAGAGGTTTGCACTTATAGAGAATAAAATATATAAGGTTCTTATAAGTTGGAGCCAACTTATAACTTGCATTTAAAGAGGTTTTACATAGTACTTGCAATTAGGAGATGTGTATTTAGAGGAGTGTGATTGTATTAGACCTAACATATCTTTAATATATAAAGTTTTTTCTTGTGATTTCTTTGAACTTCTTTTTCTTTTTTGTCTTTTTTTGATTCTGGTCTTTGGTTGCTACATTTCTTTTATCTTGTACTTTGTTTTTGTAATTTTTATTTCTCTAATCATTTCTGTTTTCTTTTAACTCTATTTTCTTTTTGTATCTATTTATTAGATCTTTTATATTTTTCTGTTTTTCTTCTGAGCTTGTGTCTTTTGTGTTTTCTATTTGTTCTTTTGTGTCTTTTGCTTTCTGCTACTGTCTTCCTATATTCTTTTATTGTCTCTTTGGGTTTTGTATTCTCAGAACATTAAAGTTCCATTATACTAAACTTTTTCTTGATAGTTATATTTATATCTGTTTGGCTTTTGAATTATATTATTATATAATCTCTTGGCCTTCTCTATCTATTCAGTAATATATATACTACTATTACCTTTCTAACCTTGAGTTCTCTTAGAAGAGTTAGTTTAGATATTCTTTTTGATTTTTTTTTAGTCTTGTTTTAAACTGATTTCTTTTTTCTTTTCTTTCTTCTTCTTCTTTACTTATTGTTATTCTTGTTAGTTTTCTATTTTTTAATACATTTATCTATGGAAATATCTATTTATTCTTTTTTTAATTTTAATTATTGCTGTTATCCTATATATGCTTCTTCTCATTTTGCATAAGGATATATTTCCTATTTTCCTTATCAGATACTTGATCTCTTGCTTTAAGATTTCTTTTAGTAGGTTCTATACTGTAAGTATTACTAAGTTTTCTTTGCTTTCTGTGTCTGTGTTTTCTTCTCTTTGGCTCTTCATTTAGTCTTTTATTTTCTTTTTCTCTTCTGCATTTTTTTTCTCTCTTATTATTTTCTCTTTCTTTTTGTCTTCTTTTTACTTTATTTTTATTTTTATTTTTATATTCTTCTATATTAGAAATCATTTTGAACCAGTTATTGTGTTTTTTTTTAAATCTTGTTAATTGCTTCTTTTCTACTATGTTTATAATCAAAAATGACTATAATTCAAGCATTACTCTTTTTGAATATTTTTTTAACTTCTATCACATATTTGTTAGTTATTAGTAATCTTTCTACAAATTTTGTTTTTTCTTTTTTTAAGCTTCTTGACATATTATATGCTAATATTTTTGCTAAATATATTAGTTTTTGCTATAATCTCTGTTTATAGATGATCATATATTTTGTTCTAATAATGCCTTTATAAAGCTGTTTTTTTCTATTTTATGATTCAATTTCCTTCTTCTTTCTTCTTTTTCTTCTTAATTTCTAATTGCTGCTATTATGTCTTAACAATCTTGTTATGTTATATTTGTCTTTAATACTTTAATTTCTTCTTCTATCTATTTGTCTATTGTTATTTTTATCATCACATTTGTGTCTTCTGTATCTTTTGTGTCTTCTTTATTTCTTCTTCTTTTTAGTTATTCTTTTTTTTTTTTATTTATATTTTGTCATAATTTTTTATTTCTTTTATATATTTATTGTATCTGTCATTTGTCTCATCTTCTCTATGTATATTTTTGGTATAATTAATTTTTCTTTTAGTATTATTTAATTTTTCTTATTACTTATGCTTTCTACTGCTATTAGATGTTAGCTTATATGATTTATTTCTTCTATCCATTTTCTTACACTAGTTGGGTCTTTTATGTCTACTTTAATTATTGCTTTATATATTTTTCTTAACATTATCATCTCTATTAAGTCTGTCTTCTATAATGCTACTACAACTATATCTCTCACATTAAAATGGTTATCTCCATTTGCTAGTTTTTGCTCTAACTCTTTACTATCTATAAGTTTTAGTACTGTTTCTGCCCTTTTACTTACAAACTTTAGTGTCATAAACTCTTCTGGTTTTATTTGTATTAATATTTAACTCTAAACTATGTAATTACTATTTTACATATTTATATTAATTCTTATACAATTTTATCTTGTATTTACATTGATTATTTTATAATATTTAGAATTATATCAACTTATATTCTTCTTGCTGTTATTGTCTTTCAGATATGAACATTATATTTAGAACTTTTCAAGTAATTTTTATAATTAATGTTTTTGTGAATTTTCAACACAAATTTACTACAGATTTGTTACCAATTTGGTTTACACTACAAATTACAATCAATAAACTAACATTCCTAATTAATATTCTACCTAAGGCATGTTAATATTCTTAATTAAGCTAACATTTTCTGTATGATTGTTTTTTTACATTTTGAATACATTACTTAAATACTTATTTTCTATCTACTATATTTACTTTATATATTAGATAATATATAGATAATATTTAAAAAGTATATTTGATATAAAAATAAGTACTAAATATTAACTACAAAAAATGGGTTTCTCGGGATTAAAGGTTGTAAAAGTCATTAGAATTATTAATGGTTATAAAGGTAATAAAGGAAATCTATAATTAAAGGGACATAAATAATTAAAGGCTTTAAGTAATATAGGACATTAAAGGGGTATATTACGGATAATATTTTTAATGCTTTTAGGAGAGCATATGTAATAAAACATTACATAATAAAGGCTTCGAATTCTACGAGAATGGGGAGTTCGCGCTTGTAATAAAATTTGACCCCGATAATTCCCTGTTTTCGCTACATTATAATACCTACGATCATATATAAACAACTCGCCAAATCTAACACGCTTCTTATCGACTTAGCCGACTCGTAGGTTACATGACATACCCGATCGTAAAGCGACTAACTCGCCGTTTCGACCGTGTCATTATATATTTTAACCCTATTTTACTAGAAATATATATTATTTGATCTATGATACCCAATTATATCACCAGTTATTAAAAAGAATAAATAATTTTAAAAGTATAAGATATATATCATTTAATTCCACAAATTAATAAAAAAAATTGGGAGTATGAGGTAAATAAGTATTTATGTCATAATTTGTTAATTTTAAATCTAAAGATTAAATAAATGAGTGACGAAAAAGGAAAACCTTGAGATAATGAGTAAAATGATTTACAGGTTTTCCTTTTTCGTCATTACACTCACAAATTAGCAAAGCGAAAGTGAATGAAAGGGTATCGGTATTTGGTAGTAAGTAAGTATTTGTGTTCATGATTTCTGATTTATTCTACTAATTCACTTTATATTTAACACAAACAATATTATGTGTTTATAAAAAGCTACCCCAGTGAGACCATGAAAGATTGTCATATATGCACCAATCGGATTTTTTTGCCAATAAGATCACTAACGTGAAAAATAACTAAAAATTTAGACTATGAAACCGTTTTATGCGCTCTAATAAAAAAAATTCCTCATAATATTTTGGTATTGAACATGGATATTTTAACATAAGGTTTTAGTACTTTAAAATATTACGCATATTTTATTCAAAAAGATCCGATTGGTGCATATATATGGTAACTTTATAAAACATTGATTGACTATCCAATTTATGCAAATCACAAGCAAATGAAATTCGGAATTTCTTTATTTTTATTCTTATTTACATAGTAAAAAAACACTATCCTAATATACTACTTAAACTTTCAATAAAATTAACTAAGCTTTTTCAAAATCAAATTAAGTTTTTCGTTATATTCCTTATTTTGATTTTCAAGTTTCTTCTCGAGGGTTTCGATTCGACATTTAAGTTCTTTGATACTTTCTTTTTTGAGCCTTTTATTTTCTTCTTTGAGGAATTCGTTTTCATCTTTTAATTCCTTAAACTTGCGTTTTCTCTTTTCCATTTCCCATTCACCTCTTTCTTGATTTTGGTCTAGGATTTGTGCGTATTCGAAAATCTTATCAACTATTTCATGAAAATAACACACACAAATCCTATGCTTGAGTTTTGAATTCTCTAGTTCTTTTTGTGCATAATCACTTAATGGCACATTGGAGACAAGAAATCCGATGAACGTTTCGGGTTTTTTAGAGATAACATTCAACAGTTTACGTACTTCATCAACTTCAACTTTATATTTAGGATTCCGCCTACAGGTTAAAAAAAAAATTGTAAATACGATGTTGGATCAACCTAAATGTCTACACGGGCGACTGCACAAATTCCCCTCACGGAAATTACATTCCGCGTATTCTTTGTATCTCCCCAGAACCACCACGAGTCTGTATCTCACTAAACCGCGGCGTAACTTACACTAACAGCATGTATTTAGTAAGAAAAAAACTTACCATTTACTTTGGATTAGGAAAAATAAAATTTTGTACTGTCCATGAATATCGATATTACCATCCGAAATTTTTTGATAATTACCCTGACTAAAATAAACGAAAGTTTTATTAATATAAGAAAGTATTCCGTTCTTTAAAAGAAATTGTTGTATAAAATATTCCAGCAATTCTCCTTTTCGTTTATTTATAAAATCATCGTTTACTGGTTTTAGGAACTCATCAAAATCATTAATTATTATATTGGTTGAGGAAATAGGAAGATGTTGCTCAATGAAATTTTTTAAGGTTAATTTAATACCAGTAAGTATCAAAGAATAAAACATTTTTCACGAAAGAAATTTTTTTTAAAACAAAATAATGTTTGAATAAAAATTTCTCGTCCATTTTTAACAAAAAAAAACTTGATTAATATTTGTTGTACAGCTATAAACAAAGAAGAAAAAAATGCGATATTTATCCAAATTATCTACAAAACTCTTGATAAATCGGTCTCTTGGTTGATCTTCGACAAACTGTAATATTATTTGCAACAATCAATATCGAGGAGATTTCCCGAATATAGTCATCACATATACGCACGGCTTAACAAGGGATCGCCCTCTTGTGTCACGTACCAGGAAAGGAGTGAAACGAGTGTGGCCTATCCGTTGGTGAAATGGTGTGCGGTTACAAAATCTTATATTCTATCAAAATCAATACCAGGAAATTAGTGTATGGCTTACGGATAAGTTTTTGTGTTCGAAATCTTGCATATCATTGGACAGCGTGATCTTGCCATGAAACTGTATATATGTTCTTTAGCATAAAGTTTTATGCAATCTAAGAAATCGGAATATTACGTTTGTATTACGTACAGATTGGACAATTCATTCTTGTTTCTTATAATCAAGATCGAATCGGTTTAATTTCCTTACCCGTGGCTTTTTACCTGTAACGGTAATGATAGTTTAAATCTGTTAAACCTTGCTATTTTGGGCAATCAATTTACGTATAATTAGATAGCATTCAAACCTGTTCGATCACGCTGCTCTGTGAAATTTAACCCAAAAAAGGCAGATTGACAGTTTTTCATATAAAATTCAAACTAAAATAACTTTTTATGTCAAGAAAATCCAATAAAACCAGTTTTCAGAATGAATTTTACTTATAGAAAACAATTTTTAATGTCAGTAATATAGTGAATTTTTGAGATACTACGACCCATATTTTTTTGGCCGGTAGTGATTTTCTTGACATAAGGATACTCGATTACTGGGTTGATGAAGATCTACGCTAAATTTGTATTGAACATTTGAGACGTTAAATTGCGAATCCGGTCCTAGGATCTAAAAGGACGATCTTGGACTCGGTCCTTAAATCACATGAAAATACAATACAATATACAGGACTTTAAATCCTATATTAGATCCTACCTAATAGGTTCATCCAATCAAATTAATTTAATAATTCGGTCTAAGTCTTGAATTGCAAATATTGCATGAATGCAATCGACCCCTTACTTTCCTTCAACTGGGTACAAAATTTTGGTCCCACCGCCAGGATACGTTCCCATTAGAACACCTGCTCGCAAATTAATGGCTACTCCAACGTCTATGGGTTGTGATGGATTTATGATGTTGGAGGAGGATCGAAATCAAACTTATGACCTACCCGCTGAAATTCCAGGTGTAGGCAATTTGCCATTTCTAAAGAAGACATGCAACACTTTGGTAAATTATTAGAAGACAAAGATGAAAGCGAATTATCTGTGATGAATTGAAGGAAAGCAATATTACGCGTCTTCTTCTGAAGATAAAGAACGGAACCCCGCCCATGAGAAAGACGCCACTTCGGCAAATAACTGACAAAGCTCGAGATTTTGGTGCAGGCCCTCTATTTAAACAAATCCTTCCACTTTTGATGTCGCAAAATTTAGATCAGGAAAGACATTTGTTGGTTTTGGTTCGTCCTTATGTTCATAAGATCCTTGTGGTTATTGAACCGCTCTTGATTGATGAAGATTATTTCGCACGATGTGGTAAGTTATATAAAATTCGTTACATTAACTGGCTATACGTGCGCTACACTTTTTGTTTTTACTTTAATTAATATTATTTGTATTCCTAAAATCAGTAAACGATGAGATTATAAATAAACGAAAAAGGGAATTGTTTCTTTTAAAGAACGTAATTCTCTCTTATATCGATATTTATCAACAATATAAAATTTTATTTTTCCTAATCCAAAATAAATGGTAAGGTTTTTCTTACTAAACACATGTTGTTAGCATATATTTGTTGGTTTTTTTTTTAACAAATATATGTAATGATCTCTTGACAATCCGATGTGTAAGTTACGCTGGGGTTGAGTGAGATACAGACTCGTGGTGTTTCGGAGGAGATACATAGTATTCGCAGAATGTAATTTCCGTGAGGGAGAATTTGTACAGTAGCCCGTGTAGACATTTGGGTTGATCCAAAATCGTACTTACAATTTTTTTAACCTGTAGACTGAATTCTGAACATAAAGTTCAAGTTGATGAAGTAAATTGTTGAATGTTATATCTAAAAAAACCAAACCGTCCATCGGGCTTCTTGTCTCAAATGTAATATTAAGTAATTATGCATTTGAACGATCTTTTATGAATGGTCCTTCCCAATTCAATTTGGAACACCACCTCAATCTTTGAATATACCAATTGTTACAACATTCAATTTTATGGCATTTTACCATATATAGATCTAGAGGTTTTAAATAGAAAGCCATACACTACAGCATTTGATATTTATTTTTTTGATATTTATTTTTTTGGTATAATTATGTGGGAGATTCTACATGATAAACCTGTATCTTACAATTTAAATTATAATAATAATGTATCACTTCAACTATTAATTTGCTATGATAATTTACCACCAAATATTTTTGAAAATGCGCCAAAATGTTATATAAATCTAATGAAAGAATGCTGGGAAAAAAGAATGAGAAAAACGTCTGTCGGTGGAATAAAAAAAAATATTAGAAGTACTCGTGGTCGAAAAAAATTGGAATCATTTGATAATAGCCAATGGTATATAATTCTTTTACGGCAGTTATTACTTCAGTATGATTTACCAAATTTATTTATACTTAATGGTTTGAACGAATTAATGAATAGTTCTTGGATTTCTACGCTACTTCTGATTCTGATTTATGAATAGCAGTTAAATCACCAGTAATAAAATTTCGCTGCACAATCAGATTTTAAGATCTCGTGTAACGCTAAAATTGCAAAAAAATCAAAAACAAAAAAACGCTCGTAGCTAAAATTTTGCCTATGAAAGTGCCTTCTGTGTACTAACAAAAAAATTCCTCATGAAATTTTACTATAACTGTAACCCTTTAAACCAAACATCAACCTACTGGTGGGTCCCTAACCCTAAACTAATTGTGAAACAATTTTTCAATAAGGTCACATAGTCGGCGAAATTGTTTAGGGTGGTGATGCTAGACTTTTAGATTCGATGGTCCAGTCGCGGCATTGCAAATAATCGTAAGGTCGATACTATAGATGGGACCCAAATATAAAACAGGAGGAAACGTTGATGTTACACAATTGATTTTACACACGGTGTGAAACACATAAAAAAATTTTTTTACAATA